CTCCCTCCAAAGGACAGATAAACCAGACAGAAAATAAGTAAGGACACAGAGGCACTGAACAACACACTAGAACAGATGAACCTAATAGACATCTACAGAACTTTACACCCAAAAGCAGCAGGATACACATTCTTCTCAAGTGCACATGGAACATTTTCCAGAATAGACCACATACTATGCCAGAAAAAGAGCCTCAGTAAATTCAAAAAGATTGAAATTTTACCAACCAACTTCTCAGACCACAAAGGTATAAAACTAGAAATAAATTGTACAAAGGAAACAAAAAGGCTCACAAACACATGGAGGCTTAACAATGCTCCTAAATAATCAATGGATCAGTGATCAAATTAAAACAGAGATCAAGCAATATATGGAAACAAATGACAACAACAGCACAATGCCCCAGCTTCTCTGGGACACAGTGAAGGCAGTTCTAAGAAGAAAGTATATAGCAATCCAGGCATATTTAAAGAAGGAAGAACAATCACAAATGAATAGTCTAAAGTCACAATTTTTGAAATTGGAAAAAGAAGAACAAATGAGGCCCAAAGTAAGCAGAAGGAGGGGCATAATAAAGATCAGAGAAGAAATAAATAAAATTGAGAAGTATCAAACAATAGAAAAAAATCAATGAAACCAAGAGCTGGTTCTTTGAGAAAATAAACAAAATAGATAAACCCCTAGCCAGACATTTTAAGAGAAAAAGAGAATCTACACACATAAACAGAATCGAAAAGAGATAGGAAAAATCACAACGGACGCCACAGAAATACAAAGACTTATTAGAGAATACTATGAAAATCTGTATGTTAACAAGCTAGATAACCTAGAAGAAATGGAAAACTTTCTAGAAAAAAACAACCTTCCAAGACTGACCAGGAAAGAAACAAAATCTAAACACTCCAATTACCAGCAATGAAATTGAATTGGTAATCAAAAAACTACCCAAGAATAAAACCCCCAGGACAGATGGATTCACCACTGAATTTTATCAGACATATAGAGAGGACATAATACCCATTCTCCTTAAAGTTTTCCAAAAAATAGAAGAGGAGGGAATACTCCCAAACTCATTCTATGAAGCCAGCATCACTCTAATACCAAAACCAGGCAAAGACTCCACAAAAAAAGAAAACTACAGACCAATATCCCTGATGAACATAGATGCAAAAATACTCAACAAAATATTAGCAAACCGAATTCAAAAATACATCAAGAAGAGCATACACCATGACCAAGTGGGATTCATCCCAGGCACGCAAGGATGGTACAACATCCATAAATCCATCAACATCATCCACTACATCAACAAAAAGAAGGACAAAAACCACATGATCATCCCCATAGATGCTGAAAAAGCAATCAACAAAATTCAGCATCCATTCATGATAAAAACTCCAACAAAACGGGTATAGAGGGCAAGTATGTCAACATAATAAAGGCCATATTTGACAAACCCACAGCTAACATCATACTTAACAGCGAGAAGCTGAAAGCTCTTCAACTAAGATTAGGAACAAGACAGGGATGCCCACGTTCCCCTTATCTGTCGCTTTCTTATATACTAACAATGAACTAGCAGAAAGAGAAATCAGGAAAACAATTCCATTCATGATTGCACCAAAAAGAATAAAATACCTAGGAATAAACCTAACCAAAGTGAAAGACCTATACCCTGAAAACTGCAAGACACACTTAGGAGAAATTAAAGAGGACACTAGCAAATGGAAACTAATCCCGCACTCTTGGGTAGGAAGAACTAATGTCGTCAAAATGGCCATCATGCCTAAAGCAATCTATCGATTCAATGCGATCCCTATCAAAATACCAACAGCATTCTTCAACAAACTGGAACAAATAGTTTTAAAATTCACAGGGAACCACAAAAGACCCCGAATAGCCAAAGCAATCATGAGAAGGAAGAATAAAGCAGGGGTGATCTCGCTTCCCAACTTCAAGCTCTACTACAAAGCCACAGTAATCAACACAATTTGGTACTGGCACAAGAACAGAACCACAGACTAGTGGAACAGAATAGAGAGTCCAGACATTAACCTAAACATATATGGTCAATTAATATACGATAAAGGAGCCATGGATATACAATGGGGAAATGACAGCCTCTTAAACAACTGGTGTTGGCAAAACTGGACAGTACATGTAACAAAATGAAACTGGATCACTGTCTAACCCCATACACAACAGTAAATTTGAAATGGATCAAAGACCTGAATGTAAGTCATGAAACCATAAAACTCTTAGAAAAAAACATAGGCAAAAATCTCTTGGACATAAACATGAGCGACTTCTTCATGAACATATCTCCCCAGACAAGGGAAACAAAAGCAAAAATGAACAAGTGGGACTATATCAAGCTGAAAAGTTTCTGTACAGCAAAGGACACCATCAACAGAACTTAAAGACATCCTACAGTATGGGAGAATATATTCTTAAATGACATATCCAATAAGGGGTTAACATCCAAAATATACAAAGAGCTCATGCACCTCAAAAAACAAGAAGCAAATATTCCAATTAAAAAATGGGCAGAGGAGCTGAACAGACACTTCTCCAAAGAAGAAATTCAGATGCCAACAGACACATGAAAAGATGCTCCACACTGCTAATCATCAGAGAAATGCAAATTAAAACCACAATGAGATATCATCTCACACCAGTTAGGATGGCCGACACCCAAAAGTCAAACAACAACAAATGTTGGCGAGGATGTGGAGAAAGGGGAACCCTCCTACACTGCTGGTGGGAATGTAAATTAGTTCAACCATTGTGGAAAGCACTATGGAGGTTCCTCAAAAAAGTAAAAATACAAATATCATTGGAACCAGGAATTCCATTCCTAGGAATTTACCCTAAGAATGCAGCAGCCCAGTTTGAAAAAGACAAATGCACCCCTATGTTTATTGCAGCACTATTTACAATAGCCAAGTAATGGAAGCAACCTAAGTGTCCATCAGTAGATGAATGGATAAAGAAGACGGGTACATATACACAGTGGAATATTATTCAGCCATAAGAAAACAAATCCTACCATTTGCAACAACATGGATGAAGCTAGAGGGTGTTACACTCAGTGAAATAAGCCAGGTGGAAAAAGACAAGTATCTAATGATTTCACTCATCTGTGGAGTATAAGAACAAAGAAAAACTGAAGGAACAAAACAGCAGCAAACTCACAGAACCCAAGAATGGACTAACAGTTACCAAAGAGAAAGGGACTAGGGAGGATGGGTGAGAAGGGAGGGATAAGGGGGAAAAAGGGGCATTATGATTAGCACACATTATGTAGGGTGGAGGGCATGGGGAAGGCCATACAACACAGAGAAGACAAGTAGTGATTCTATAGCATCTTATTACGATGATCGATGGTGACTGTAATGGGGTATATGGGGGGACTTAATAGTGGGGGAATCTAGTAAGCATAATGTTGCTCATGTAATTGTACATTAATGATACCAGTATAAAAAGATATAATGGGATGGCCATCTGCAAACTGAGTGTTCTCACTGGACACTGAATCCACTGATGCCTTGATCTTGGACTTCGCAGTCTCTAGAACTGTGAGAAATAAATGTTTGTTGTTTAAAAAAAAGAAAGAAAAACCCAGAGGTTTACACTGTATAATAGTTCATATCATTTCAGAGCAAAAACAGATGATGAGAGGCAATAAATGTTCTTAATGACATAATTTGAAATACCCCAACTCCTAATAATCAACAACCTAGGAAGTTTTTTAGATTCATTTGCTAGCACAAGAATCTGTGAAGCTATAATGCACTGATGACAAGAAGAAAAGTAGTGTAGAGTAAGACGTAGCTAAGGTTAGCCTTCATGATGTTGTGGCTACTGGCTTAGTGGGAATAACCTTCCCTCTAAAATAAAAGTATGGATCTGTAATTTAGGAGGCTAGAAGAGTTTAGTTACTAAAACAGAAAAGAATAGTTAAATACAAGTAGACCCAAATTACGTATTTTCATTAAGTTATCTAAAAATCATAAAGGAGGTGCTGCTCAAAGATCAATGTCTACAACACACAAGGAATTCCAGTCAAGTGCTAATTAATCAGTAAGAAATGTCTTTCCTTTTCCCTCTTTCCCAGTGTAGTACAACACAAACAAGTAACTAAGACTGCCAATTGCTGCTACCAACTTTCATCCCTCTGAAGAAACCAGCTGGAGAATTAGTTTTATCACTGCAAAGGAGCCTCACTCCTTACTTTTTTATGTATACCTTGGAGATACTTTGGGTTTGGTTCCAGATCACCACAAAAAAAGCAAATATTGTAATTAAGCAAGTCAAATTAATTTTTTGGTTTCCCAGTGCATATTAAAGTTATGTTTATACTATAGTCTGTAAGTATGCAACAGCATTATGTCTAAAAAAACAATGTTCATACTTTAATTAAAAAAATACTTGATTGCTAAAAAATGTTAACCATTATCTGATCTGTCAGTGAATCACCACCTTTTCACAGTGAAGGGTTGTTCCTTAATGTTGGTGGCTGCTGAATGACCAGGGTGGTTGCCGATGGTTAGGGTGGCTGTGGCAATTCCTTAAAAATATGACAACAATGAAGTTTGCCACAATGATTAACACTTGCTTTTACTAACAATTTTTCTGTAGCATTAGGTGCTGTTTGATAGTATTTTATCCACAGAATTCTTTCAAAAGTGGAGTCAAAACACTCAAATTCTGGCACTGCTTTATCAACTAAGTTTATATAACATTCTAAATCCTTTGTTGTCATTTCAACAATCTTCACAGCATCTTCACTAGGAGTAGTTTCCATCCCAAGAAACTGCTTCCTTTGCTCATCCATAAGAAGCAACTCCTCATCCATTCAAGTTTTGACCATAAGGTTGCAGCAACTCAGTCATCTTCAGGCTCCACTTGTAATTCTAGTTCTCTTGCTATTTCCACTGCAGTTAATTCCTCCACTGAAGCTGTGAACTCCCCCCTCAAAGTCATACATGAAGGCTTACCTAATTTTCTCTAGTCCAGTGTTTATATCAAGATCTCTTGATTCTTATTATTTCTACCTCTTGAAGAATCTGGAAGAATTAAGAAATAGAAATGACCAAAACAAAGATATTTCTACCACATGTGTCAAACATTTTGTGGGCCAAAAAGTCAGTACAAGTGCTAATAACTTTGTATAGACTCATCATGAAATATACCTTATTTGGCATCATGGCATTTTTTACACTTGTAAAAATTACAGAAGTTGAGAATTCTGCTCAAGTATCTAACCAACATTACAATATTATTTTAAATGAAAATGTGTTCTAGATTTTAAACACTAAAATTATAAACACAGCATAGAGAAGCACTCAGAAAGCTCAAACACATACAAATAGTTCCCCAAGTTTCAGGAAAGCTGTACCTATTAGGCAAAACAACAAAAATAGCCTTCTTGAAGAGGTAATTTAAGGGCACATTTACAATGGTGCAGGCAGGGTTAAAGGAACCAACAGAGCATAGTACTCAGGAAGCCACTGCTACCCTTCAGAATGACGGTGCAGGGAGGGACCAATTACTGGAGAATAACTGCCAACAGCAGCTGAAAGAATGAATATCTAGCTTCTTTCTTCTGTTTCTCCAACATCCTGCCAGTGCCTCACACTGGAAAAATCCAACAAGAAACCAAGAAGGGAGCCCCAGTGAAGCAGTCCTTAGAGATCAGCCTTCTCTGAGGCACAGAGCAAAGCACAGAAGGCACTCTTCACTAAAGTAAATCTGGAGGGGGGAAAAAAATCCAGTACTGGATGTATGAAGAAGAGAATTTGAAAGCCAAGACTTGGTCAGCCACTTTTAGTTAAGAAATCCTAGATAAGGTCCATTTCTGAGTCTGCGATCTCTACTACAAAACATGGATACTACTACTCACTTAAAATATATGTTGTAAGAATAAAGTGAAATTGACATGTGCTAAAAGTGGCCAACAATATGTGGCACTGTACTAAATGTTAGCTAAAATGAAATTCAAGACAGGCTTTGTATCTGCAGCACCTAACATGGTGTGTAACTTACAGAAGGTGCTAAAACATTGGCTAAATAAATTATGATGCGGAATACACATAAGAGGAAATGAGGAACTGAGCATTCTGTTCTATCTTTGCTTTTGTCTTACTATTGTTGTGTGATCTTTATTAAGGGATACAACTGTACTAAAAAATTGAAAAAAATAAGAATCTTTACCCCAGAACTGCTATAGGATAAATAAAACATTTTAAATATCTTGACATTATACAACTTCAAGAATTAGAGATTTAAAATACTTTATCAGTAAGTATCTCCATAAGCATTTAGTAGCATGTAATGGCCACCCAAATGCCTAAATGATTTAGAATTTAGGAGAGGATATTTGGAAATGCATAAGGCTATGGACAAAAAAGTTCACAGACAATAAAGACAACTCAAAAGAAAATCCCATTGTACTCCTTAATATATTTTTGCCTGTTATTCAACTAAAACTAGGTTTCTTCTGTTACTTTTCAAAATGTTAAAATATGGAGAAAATCCAGTCATTTGTTGTTGATAATAAGTAGAAGAGCAAAGAGTAACAACAGCTATAAATTTTTTTCAATGTTTGACACCCAGATGTTCAGCACTCTAAAACATGCATGTAATAAAGGTGGCATGTAACAATTACTAACACTGTTGAAGAGAATAGAAAGAGGACAAAGGATAAAGACATGTTTTATTTGTTACATTTTTTTAAAGTGATGAAAGAATGGGTTTCACAGAGATTCACACCAGAGTTTTCAATGATCACTAATTTTGGTCACTGGTGAAACTTGACCTACCTTATGTTCCTGTGGAAGTGTCAAGAAAGAAGATCAAAAAGTAAGACCTTTCTTTTCCTCTGTTGGATGATGTACTCTAAATTACAAAAGCGTCTAAAAAAGATGGCAGCATGAGAGGTGAGACAGAGGCCTTCCCCTAAAACCACGTATAATAAGAAAATTAATACAACTAATCCTGAAAGAGCAACAGGAAAGAAGGCTGCGCCAGATTGCATACACCTAGAGAAAAGAATAGACTTCACGGAACAGGGTAACATACCACAGCCGTGATCTGGCGGGACCCAAGCCCTTTCCCCATCCTAGCTCACTGGTGGGAGGAAGAGGAACAGAGCATGGAAGGAGTGGAGGCCTGGGACTGCTGAACACCTAGCTCTGGAGATCTGCTCTGGGAGCACAAAGCTACATTGCATGGTACTCTGGTGATTAGTGGGGTTGGAAAGCTAAGACAGGCAGAATACCTGGAGAGACTGAGATTCCAGCTGCTTGAGGAAAACAGGGATCCATATTCAGCTGCTCTGGGACAAAAGAAAGGTGGGCAGTCTGAGAGACTTCCTAACAGCGAGAGGGGTGCTAAAGGGGCAAGGATTGCACAGAGCTCAAGAGAAAGGACAGGTAGACAAAATTGTATGGGTGCACTCTGCGTAGTAGGTTGGGAACGTTCAGGAGCTTCAGCACTCCATCCCCCTGGCTGGATACACAGCTCCGAGGGCCCCCCCTGTGACACACAGCAGGCTGCACCTTCCTCCCAGCCAGCCCACCCCTGGCTCACAAACTGAGAGCCCCTGCCCTGGCATCATGCCAGCCAGAGGGAAGCCCTGCCTACAGCAACTATAATCTCAAAGCATAGAGGCTTACACTTGTGTGTTCGGCCCACTGGTTCTGACAGGGGAGACAGGCATAGCAGCCAGGAAGCAGAAACAGCTCTTTGCTCCCCCCAAGCACCAAAACCGCTCCCCTGCAACCCTCAACAATGCTCCAGGGGCTGAGAAGCTCCAGAGAGAGAGCTTCTGGGCATTAGAGGGCACCACATACAAATATGAAATGTCAAAGGAACCTGATTAAAACCAAAATTGTACAAACACCAGAAAAAGAGTCAAATGAAAGCAATCTCATCACTCTTCCTGAAAGAGATTTCAAAATAAAAATCATTAACATGCTCATGGAGGTACAGAAAAATATTCAAACACTCAGGAACGAATTCTGGTAAGAGATCCAATGATTAAGGAACACAATGGAGGGTTTTAAAAGCATTTTAGATATGGTAGAGGAGATGATAAATGAAATAGAAACAGAGAAGAGGAATACAAAGAAGGTGAGGCACAGAGAGAAAAAAGGATCTCTAAGAATGAAAGAATATTGAGAGAACTGTGTGACCAATCCAAATAGAACAATATTTGTATTATAGGGGTACCAGAAGAAGAGAGAGAAAAAGGAATAGAAAGTGTCTTTGAGGAGGTAACTGCTGAAAACTTGCCCAATCTGGGGAAAGAGATAGTCTCTGGCCCTGGAGATGAAAAGATCTCCCAAAACAAGAGACCAAAGGAAGACAACACCAAGACATATATAATTAAAATGGCAAAGATCAAGGATACGGACAGACTATTAAAAGCAGCCAGAGAGAGAAATAATATAACATAGAAAGAAAGGAAAACCCATCAGGCTATCATCAGACTTCCCAGCAGAAACTTTACAGGCCAGAAGAGAGTAGCATGATATATTTAATGCAATGAAGCAGAAGGGCCTCAAACAGAGAATACTCTATCTGGCAAGATTATCATTCAAATTTGAAGGAAGGATTAAATAATTTCCAGATAAGAAAAAGCTGAGAGAATTTACCTCCCACAAACTGTCTCTCTCTATAGTGTACTTTGGAGGGATTTCTATAAAAGTAAGTGCTCCTAAGGCTAAACAGCACTCACCAGGGGTAATAAAACCACAGTAAAGAAAGTAGAACAATTAATTACTAAGCGAATGCAAAATTAAATCAACTACACCCAAAGGCGGTCAAGGGATAGACAAAGAGTACAGATGATGATACCTAGTATATAAAGAATGGATGAGCAAGAAAAAAGAGGTGAAAAAAAAAAAGAACCTTAGATTGTGTTCGTAAAAGCATATTAAGTGAGTTAAGTTAGATAGTAAGGAACTTAAACTTAATCCTTTGGTAACCATGAATCTAAAGCCTGCAATGGCAATAAGTACATACCTACTGATAATAACCCTATATGGGAATGGTCTGAATGCATCAATCAAAAGATAGAGTCACTGAATGTATAAAAAAAAAAAGACCTATCTGTATGCTGCCTACAAAGGACTCACTTCAAACCCAAAGATACACACAGACTAAAACTGAAGGGATGGAAAAAGATATTTCATGCAACTAACAGGGAGAAAAAAGCAAGAGTTGCGTTACTTGTATCAGACAAAATAGATTTCAAAACAAAGAAAGTAACAAGAGACAAAGAAAGACATTATATAATGATAAAGAGGTCAATCCAACAAGAAGATATAACCATTATAAATATCCTTGCACCCCAACACAGGAACAGCTACATATGTGAAACAAATACTAGCAGAATTAAAGGAGGAAACAGAATGCAATGCATTCATTCTAGTAGACTTCAACACACCACTCCCTCCAAGGGACAGATAAACCAGACAGAAAATAATAAGGAGACAAAGGCACTGAACAGCACATTAGAACAGATGGACCTAACAGACATCTACAGAATAACCAAAAGCAACAGAATACACATTCTTCTCAAGTGCACAAGGAACATTTTCAAGAATAGATCAAATACTAGACCACAAAAAGAGCCTCAGTTAATTAAAAAAGATTGAAATTGTACCAACCAGCTTCTCAGGTCAAAAAGGTATGAAACTAGAAATAAATTACACAAAGAAAATGAAAAATCCTACAAACACATGCAGGCTTCACAATATGCTCCCAAATAACCAATGGATCAATGACCAAATAAAAACAGCAATCAAGCAATATATGGAGATAAATGACAACAATAATTCAACACCACAAAATCTGTGGGATGCAGTGAAGGCTGTGCTAAGAGGGAAGTATATTGCAATACAGGCCTACCTCAGGAAAGAACAATCCTATATGAAGAGTCTAAACTCACAATTAACAAAACTTGAAAAAGAAGAAGAAGGCTCAAAGTCAGTAGAAGGAGGGACATAATAAAGATTAGAGAAGAAATAAATAAAATTGAGAAGAATAAAACAATAGAAAA